GATATTTCAAAATTCTTAAGTTTCTTAGTGAAATTAGTTCATAAAAACTTACCAGATGGGTGCTCATTGGGATTCAAGTCGGTCATCTCTTCACTGAACCAGGCACACACTGACTACTTGCAAGAATGTGAATAATTACAAAACTCTAGCACTGTGTTAGTGATATTACATTATCAGTTCCCATTACACACTCATTAATGTGCATACATACGTACACTCAAGCATCACGCCACCTTTTCAACAATCACGCTCTGCTATCAATATAGTATCGCACCATCACTTCAAAATTGCATCGTTCGATTTCTCAAAAAATCAAATTCTTCACGAACGAGCGATCAGCAAGGCGTTCATCAAAATTTTAAACCAATACTTGTTAAATCTCGCAATCAGTATTCCAAATGTGTCGACTCAGCTTACGACTGGACTCTCAGATGATCTAGATTGTGGTAGAAAATGAACAGATCGTCGTCCTTAAGCCTTTCATGAAACTTCTGAAGCTATCTTCATCTTTGGAATTGTAATGAGAGAATCGAAGGATAAAAATTTAGAATTGTTCTGCAATATTTGCATTTGGTTGTTCAACAATTTTTTATTGCTCACAACATTTATAGCGCTATCAAAACAGAACAAAACGATTAGAAACTTTTTTTGATAAGGAAGTGAAGCCGAAATACTGCAACTGAGTTTTTTGATTTTGATAAGGAATGTGGTGTGATACGACCGTTGTATTTTGATGTTCTGAATCATAATCGGTTGTATGCTAGTAAAAAAAACGAACTGTGTTGCAGTTATCATGAAAATATTGAAAATATTTTCGTCGCCAGCAAACAGAATTAACGGAATCTTTATCGATTCAGTTTCACCAACCTGAGCCTCACAAATGGATGATACCTCACCGACACATAATTTATAGACTCTTAACTATTGGAGAGAAACTGAAGAAGTTCATGCAAGTATTTTGGGAAGCCAGGGAATGACCCTTTCCTCAGTGAGCACGTCGGAGAACGAGAAAAAACTGCTTCTCCGTATAAGCTAACCCTCAATACCAGAGGTTTCTGCCCGCTGATGAATAGTCATGATTACAAACCTATTATCACAAATCCGTTTTATATTTACTTGAAAGTAACAGATGGATTAGATCAACAAGTGATATATAAAGCGATAACAGATTGATTACGTTCAAAAGAATGATCCGAAAAGGAATTTTAAAACAATTTGATGGGCTCTTTGCATTTCAGTTATATGTATCAATACGTTAACAGCAAACAATCACTTCTTTCGGTAGATGAACACTTTCTTGTCTAGCCTATGCAAACGAAAAGGCGATCACTAGGAATCAGGACCTTTCAAAAGCTTTCCATAAGATACATGAAGCTTTAAAAACATCATGCAGATGATTCTCACTATTCCTCATCATCTGTCAAATTACCCAAAAGAACACACTTAACGATGACGTTACACTTGCTCAGTTCGAACTACGACAGCTTAAAGCAGGAGTAAAATTTCAATGAGAAAAATTATTGAAAAATTAACTATTCTATAACATGTCAGTATGCTTAAAGACAAACTGAATGAATGCATCCAATGCTAAGAACATAGTTAATAAAATTTGAGAGTTGGCTGGAAATTAGCGCATGAAATGCGATAAACATGAATGTGAACGAACGTTGAAATGCCGAAAACATCGACCGCTACATTCTGTCGATAAACACTAATGAATGAAGTTTAATAGTAGAACTGATTGTGAGATAATGTAAGCACATTGAATAGATCACAACAAACGCGGTTAGTTACACAATAATCATGATATTCTTCGTATCATCGGCAATATACACCAATATGACCTAATCGTTGACAAACAACATTCATACACTGATCATATAAAACTTATCGTCAACATTCCTCTTATCAGCCTGCACAATCTATTCGCCTGCAAAGTGCACTGAATGCAGATGAGATTACTTAGGATGAGGACATGTGTGTTTCTCAAGTCGTCGACAAACAACGTACTCGAGACGGCAGTTTCTTGCGTCAACATCAATTTAAAAAATTGATCAAGTTTGTCTCAAACGATCCATGTAAATGATAAGGAGTTCAAACGGAGAAGCGCATAAATAATTCTGCTGCAAATATAAGAGGATTATTTGATAATTTTTCAAACATTTATAACCCCAAACAACCAGCTGTCTGTGCGTCATCCAAAGCGACGATCCTTCCGGTTACTTAAACGAAGTTTATGTAATCAACCCAAACGCATCGTTTTCATTCGAACCAATGACAAACAACTCAAGATTTTCGGAATATCACAATCTCGCAATGTCACAATGCAGACTACCCTCAAAACAATCTAATAGCCATCAAAACTGCTAATTAGTTCCATCCAAGACTTTATTGTTTCAATTGCACACCATAAGAAACCTCATTCACTTCTAAATTGTTCCTCTATTGATCAGCATGCGCATTGCATTGGATGAGTTTCAGGGTAGCCATCTTCAAACAATCGGTGTTCTCAGGTTTGTCCAGAATCATGAAGTAGAGTCACTCGAATATCCGGTTATTTTCGCTCCGTAGTTCGTTTCGGTTCAATTTCAGCGAATGCATTGAATTTGTGTGCGTATTACATAATATTAGATCAGATTAAGTTGATCAGATATATTTGATTAGTAGATTGAATGAATGTTTACGATTTTAATGAATTGATAGTGGAATTTTGATCAATTCGATCACTGGTTACGACGTGAATATCGTCTCCAGAAACCCTATGTAAACGAACTCATTCCTCACACATTTCAGTATGCATCTGCCCTGCAGGTGCAAGTGGTGGTGGTGAGTCTGAGACTCACTAACTTCATCCACTGAAATTTTTGTGTGTGTTCCCAAGGGGACACTTCGGCCCTCAAGCGAGGGTGGTCACCCATGGGCAAGGTGTCTGTTTTCGGTTGAGGTTGCCTCGGCTCGGGCAAACAGTTTACCCTCAACTGAGGGCGAGAGATCTAATTTCCTTTACCCTTAACATGGTCGAGAGTAGTGCGCTTACTTGTAGTTGACAGTGGACGCTCTATCCATCCTTAGCCCAACAGTCCCGATCCCGCTCTCCAGGCACTCTGTCCCCTTTTTATCTGGGCTTCTTTCGTCTCTCAGGTAATCCTCCTTCTCTCGGGAAATCCTTCTCCCTCCCGTGTGACTTCTTTTCCCTTCGAGTGAACCTTCCTCATTTTCGGGTAAACCTCTTCTCTCCTGAGGAACTCTCGGGAAAACCTCTAGAAAACCCTCCTCCCCCCATGTGAACACTCTTTCCTCTCAAGTGAACCCCTCTCCATCTGCTTCTTCAGATACGGAAACAAATAAGTCCGACCTGAAGTTCAGTGGCTTTATCATGAAGGGAAATGATTGATGAAGTATGCGATTTGATATTGATGAACAAGGTAACAGTTGAAAAGAGGCACTGTGCAATATGTAACAGATGAATGAATCATACTGCCTGGAAGAGGCATGATACTGATTCTGAGAATGAATATCATTCCAAAAATTGGATCAGCTGAGCAGAACAGTTCGTTTTCTGTATTTGTTGAAATTCATTTACAAATAATGTGACAAAAGATTGGTAACTGATTAAAATTACGATTAAATTGTGCCAAGGTCAGGCTGAGTGGTCTAGTGGTATGATTCTCGCTTCGGGTGCGAGAGGTCCCGGGATCGATCCCCGGCTCAGCCCAAGCTTTTGCTTGTGAAAAAGAAGACGAAAAGCATTTCATAATAGCACCATTGCTATTCGACATGATTTGCTGATTGTGAATATGAAATATGTCAAGGACTTATGACTTATGATATCGAAATTTATCTGGGTATATGCCGATTTCTCACTGATGTCGTGCATTGAATTCAATTGTGGGGTAGCCTACTTTTTACTTTAATGTTGTAAACAGCAAGTAATTTGCAATCTGCAAACACACCTGATCGATGTGACAGGTCGATTCGGTGACACATTTAGGATCGCTATGATAGGTTGAACCAAATCAATAATGATAGGTTATCCAGAAATCGCTCTGATGAACAAATCGAACAGAAGTGACCGGAAATCACTGTAAAAAAGCACATTTTCGAGATATGCAGGGTTTTTGTAATGGTACACCTGGGATTGTTAGGAACGAAGAACACAAAGGTCGATGCCCTCTACACAGGTCGGATTTCATATATCTTCGTATGTCCCATTTTTGTCACAATTTAAACTAATCATTGTGGCTTTTGTAATATGGCACTGTAATTCGGTAGTTAATCGAATGCGTAACATTTCGAGTGAATCTGCTTCAAACGATGGACCATTTGTATATGTAGGAAATTCTTTTGAATCGCAAGGAATTCAGTCGCTTCAATGCCTCACAGCTGCTTGTGCAGTTAAGCCGGCTTGGCGGTTTGACCGTGGCATACTGCGTGCACACCTGTTAATTGATGTAGACAGTTCGTTTGTCAATTAATTGTGACCGTAAGATTGTTCTGCTTGGATTCTGCTTCCGTCCTACAGTCATAATCGAATAATTTCTTACCGTAGTTCACGTGGTTCGTTAGGTAGAGCTTTAGATAGAGCTGTCACTTGGGGCACGTTTCGATAGCTGAAATGATGTAATCGAGCTTGTAAGCTAACCTAATGCTGTCAGTGTTTAATTTCACGAGCATTTCAACCAGATCCTCTTCATCCGTAAGATGATGAATAGCTACACGGAGAAGAACATTTGATATCCAGTTTTTCATCATTTTCATGGGAAAATTTGACGAGTCTTGTCAATTTTTGGAGAATATTGCATCAAGTAGGCTGTAATTTTTAGAAAATCTTATAAGAAAATAGTTTCGATTTAAACGATTTGCATTCTTTGAATTCACTCGTTCAGTGTCGTTGTTTTCTGGCTGCTTTCGCGTGAAAAGAAATTCTCGGTCTGGTTGATTTTCAGCTGATTTCAGCGAAGTAATCTGCTGGTATCGTTCAGGAATACAGTTCGTGGTCGATGCATCGTCAACTGTATGCATTTGGTTATGGCGGTGATGGACAATTGGGTAATCGTGCATTTTTGAGTGGTGAAGATGGCAGTTTCGTTAAAACACCTCAACGGGT